GAAAGTGTTTCGTGCCGCTATGTACGCACAAAGTTTCATGCAAGTATGGAAGGAAGAAGGACTCGAACGGTTGTGACACTTGTGAATGTAGCAGTCCTTGTGATGTAAGAGATCATGCTTCTTAGCAGTGCAATCGATAATGATCGATAATGTGCTTCCTGATACAGTAACCAGCAGCTTGTAAAAGCCCTCATTCAGGGCGTTGTATGTCCGGACACCTCTATTTGTGTACCAATGCCAGTGGAATGCATTTCTGGGCCATGCCCTGAGGTAACGATGAGGCTGTTGCCAATTTTTTCTTTTATGAGAGTTCTCAAGCATTTCTTCTGAACCCCTCGTTAAGGTTCCCAGATGTGTGATCAATCCATGCCTGATAGGTTCGCCAAAGATTGATACCTCCACAGCACAACCCGTCAATTGTACGGACAATAGCAACTGCGTTGGTAAGTTTCAGAGATCACACGTCCGTGCACATTAATGGCACAGTCCATGTTCGCCGCGTGGGCGGTGCCAGGTCTACCATTAGGGTTTCTCCATTGGTGTGATCCTATCCCATAATGCGGTGGGTGAAGGGGATGAATGCTCCAGTGAAGAAGTGGGCCTGACACAGCCCACACGGCGAGGGTGGACTCGACCATGATTTGCTTTGGTCCTGAACGAATGGAAGCATACTTGCTGCGTGAACCGTCGATAATTTCCCATTCCAGGATCTAGTGGCTCGTGGTACTGCAGTCAATACAGAAGTGACAATGGAGTCTGTTGTCCTGGAAGGGGTAAGTGTTGATATAAAGCCTTTCACTAGGATCCGCACATGCCATTTATATTTAACAGAGCCTCGATGGTCACCTGGAACATGTCCGCCGGCAACCGCCTCAACTGCTGATTGCACTCGACGTTGTCTAATTGACGAGCAATGTTCGGCTGGGCAACGGTGCTGCTTCAATGGTTGTGGGCTCTCATGTGTGGCTGCAGGTTAGTGAGTCTATTGTACGAAATTGATTGCAACTTACTCACTGCCATGTCTGTTCCCGAGCTAAGTAGGTGAGTAGGCATGGATTGGCCATAGGCATCTTGCGTCTGCATAGAATCTTCTGTTCCGGACAACTCGTCCACACCACTCTCTTCATTATGAGCTTTAAAATCACTACATGAACCTATAATCATGATCCTTGCAAATGATAGTGCTCGTCGAGGGGTGAATTAGGGCTCGGTCTTTCCCGTCACACACCCTATCGTATGGAGAGATGATGACTGCACATAGGTGTCATTGCTCAGATATAGCCACTGATGTCCTGGGGCACCATTATATAGCTCATGGCATTTCCTTAACATCATTTCTCTTTCAGTTTTCTCCGCTCCACCTCCTCAAGTGATACATATCGGAGAATGTTTGGAGACGAAACCTCTTGGAGCTTTTTGTGTTCAAAGGTTAGTCCTTTTCCGGTTTTTTTTCGTTTCCACTCTGAAATCGCCTTTAAATTTCAATCACTTCCGCTACAAAGAATGGCGGCGAAGGTATGTCGGAAATAAGGTCATAGTAGTGACAGAATGCCAAAGGGCGCCGGCGTATTGGAGGAGATAGGAGGGGGGAGGGGATAGCACTTCACAGCGCGTCTTCCAACACCTAGGACCTTGGCTTAGAGCGCAGGCAATTGGAGTTACATATAGACTCTCTGCTCTTCGAGCGTAAGCCGTAGCGGCTCCATGTCTATCTCGGCTTTGGGGGAGGGGAAGCAGGCAGCGCTGTTGTTACTCTTTCTCCCCCCCCCCCCCCATCCTCTTCGATTGCATTAGGACCGTCATGAAGGTGCAAGTGACCACTGCGTCATTCCGCCTTGAATTCCCTACGCCGTAATCGAATTTCATGAAAAACAATTCAATTGTTTCAGAGGCAAAGATCACGAATGTTCTGCGGACGTTGACTGTTCGCCACTGCGAAAATGCTGCAGCGATGGGTGCACTCGTCGATGTGCTGCTCCTGACATTACTACACACTGTAAGAGTTTCTGGCAGTATTTCTCGGGATTTTGGCTCATTTTCAGATCTTTAGTTGTGGGACATAACAAAAAGAAGACGGGATTTGGCTTGTTGGGGGCTTTTTTCTGATTCCTCATCGATCACTGCCGATGCCTCCCGTGAGGGCCTGTGAACTCGCGTAAAGCTCCGGAATAGCTTCGTTCACACTTGACAAGAGTTTACAGGTCTGATTAAAGTAAGACGAGTAAGTTAAGAGGAACTAGTAACAATAACTAATGAATTAAGAAAGTGTCCCCTCCAAGCCGAACAGCGCCAAAAAAGTGAACCCATGGAGTGTTTTGCAGGCATTCATGCTCGCCTGGCAGCGATGGCGATTCGCGAGTCGGACTCTAGTGTATATGTACCTGAATGTGATGGAAATGGTGAATATACGCCCATTCAAGCTCACTATGGCCTGAAATGGTGCGTGGATGCGATAGGACGGGAAATACAAGGTAACTATTTGTGAAACCCTCCTAATACACATTTGGCCATTACAGTCATACATTCCGTGATAATCGAAGGGAAGGAGACTCACAACCGCTGACCCGTTCTCGTTGGCGTTCCTCTTCTCGTCAAAAATACTACAGGAAAGGGCGCACCAATGAAAAAGGCGCTACGTCTCCGCCTATCCCATAATCGCGGAATATGTGGGGAAGAAGGCATTTTTTCTACTAGTTATTTTTCAGGAACAAAAACAACTCACCAGCCGGACTGTAAATCACCGCGACCATGTCCCGTACGGACCTGCGGCAAGCACTGCCCTTTTGGGTGAGCAATTTCAGTTCAGTAAATGACTTTTGTGACTGCAAACTCAAACAAGTGGAGGATGCAGCACATACATTCATCCTTTCTGGGATACGCCGTGCCCAAGGGAGCCATTTGGGATAGAAGAGGCATCTGGATGCGCATTCGATTAGCAAAACTACTTAGTGTGGCCTGCCTCTGTCCATATCAGTAAGGGACAGAGGTAGGCACACTAATTAGGGGGCGGGGGGGGTGGGTGGGGTAAAAAGAGCCAGGGCAAAGGAGGATACAGGCCTCCTTTGCCGTTGTTTGTACGTGGCACCGTTCGGGTGACAGTGGCACCTGTCTCCCCTTCTCGATTGGCGTGGGATAGAAGGTACATTCCGCGATTGCAGCGGAGCCGGACATGTCATTGTGCCTATCTCTCCTCTCATCCTCTCTCGTGTGGCTTTCTTTCCTGTAATGGTACAGAGAAGTAACTTTAATGAGGAAGGCACAATGGTAGGTAGGTCTTCACCCATACCACTAGCGTGGAATGGGCAGAAACCATCCGACGATCGCGGAATGGGCCGACGACACACTGCAGGGGGCAAGAATAGCATTTAACAAATAAAACCACTTTTAAGCTATCGAACAAACAATGATGGGTGTACGGTATGCGACTGCATTCTGCCGTGCGAATTGGTGCAATGCCAAGCCGGATTCATCTGTCGAATGGTGCAACCACGATGTTACGCCAAAAGCTGTCCGCCCATAGCGAGATGTAGGTATTTTTCAAGTGACTTGTGGAGAAGTTACGGATTTCTTAGGAAAACATCAGGGTACGTAATGAAAACGTTTGCTTTTTCAGGTCTACCCAATGTCTGTCCTGTGGGTGAACCGTTGATCTCACCGGGTGCTGATCACTTGGCCGAATGTGGAGAACAGCAATCATGTCCTACCGGGTATTACTGTAGCCATAGCGGGTACGAAGGGAAGGCATTCTGCTGTCGTGGTAATGGTAAGTGCTTACTTTACGCTCACTTGATGAAAAGACACATTTTGCGATGGCCGTATGGGCGCAGAAACGGCAAAGGATTCATGGCTGTTGTAGCTTCCTCATTGGCTGCTCTCCTCATCAGCGTCTGTGTGGCAAGGGCAAACCAGCGATGAAGATGCAGCAGTTGGAAGTCTCCGCCGCATTTTAATGCGGAATAATGCCTTCGATGAGTAACAGTAGGTCCTGGCTGCGGAATAAGGGCTCTTAGTCTCCGTGTTCATCACAGATTCAACTTTCATTCTGAGGAATTCTTAACAAGTGTTCCCACCCATGTTCTTAATGAACGCGTTAATTCTGGATTCCAGGCTCTCCAATATTTTACCCATTTTTTGACCTCCTTTTTTTTCCTAGCTCAATTCCTAATTGAATACTCAGCAGATGGCTAGATGCGGAGGTCAGATCTGTGTTTAGTGGATATTCCGTATGTAATGCCCTGTTGAGTAGAAGAGAACCTTGAGAATCACTAGGAGAGCTGATATTCCCTCAGAAGCATATTCTGGTTGCGTGGGAGGGGCCGGGCCTACCGTTGTGCGTTCCTCATTTGCTCCCTCCCACTCTGTCGTTGTAGCAAGACGAAAGAGGTGCTTTAGTGAGGAAGACTCAGTGCTGTAATTGTGTTGTAATTGTAATTGTTTATTACACAGGTAATCCTGTGTGGTGTAAGTAAGGAAAAAAAAATCGATAACGCAAAACCAAAACCAAATAAACAGCAAAAACAGCTACTAGAACTTGATGCGTATGAATAAAACCACTACCAAAATTCGAGAGCGTGAAAAAAACTAGTATAAAACTGCCATGAAGCTCAAGAGAGGAAAACAATGAATACAAGTAAAACGAACTGTGCTTGAAAGGTATTATGATGTGAGATGTTTGTCTAAAGCAGCCTTGAAAACGCTTAGTTTGTTCGTGGTTACTCCCAAGCGTACCAGTCTGTTATACTCTGGGGCAGTCCTGTTAACAAAGAAGTGGTGCCTGATATTAGTCTTAGCTCGACGAGTGCTCAGCTTTCTAGCACTACCTCTGGTAATTGAATCTCTGACCGCGAAAAGAGTGTTAGGTCTGATACCAGTGCGTAGATGAAGAATCTTGTAAAGGAAAACTAGGTCAAATTTTTTCCTTCTGAGAGCTAGGGTCTCCATATTGAGGTTAAGGTTCCTCACCACACTGGCAGGTATTTGTTCATACTTGTATCCCACCGCTCGCACGAAAACCTTTCTAGTAAAGTTATTTTGTACCCTTTCTAGAAGCATTGATACTTTTTCTCTTATTCGGATTATAAACTACGGTCCCGTACTCCAACAGAGGTCTAATGTAAGTCTTGTATGCTTTGCATAATACGAGGGAATCCCTGGTTAGGAGTGACCTGAACATGTTATGTAAAACCACAGTTGCTTTAGCTGCGATTTGAGAACAGTGCGCATCAAAAGTTAGGTCGCTCCGAATAAGGAAACCTAGGTCCCTAATTTCTTTAACCTCATCAAGACGTACACCTTGAATCGAATACGAGGATGAGCTACCAACTTTCCCTATGCGTAGCACCTTGGTTTTCTCACTAGATAAAGGTAAGCCCCATTGCTTTGCCCAAATGCTAACCTCATTGATGACCGCTTGCAACAGCACTTTGTCCGAGTCTGATGAGATAGGGTGATATATTTTGAGGTCATCAGCGAAAGCAACGCACTTGACTCCTCTAGAGACTATGAGACGAGGTAATTCAAATGTAAATATGTTGAAAAGAAGTGGAGACAGAACGCCCCCTTGCGGCACGCCACTGAGCACTGGCCTAGGTTCTGAAAACTCCGCATTACGCGCACAAGATAAACTCTATCAGTAAGAAAAGATTGTATCCACTTAACAATTCTGGGATGAACTCCAACTATTCGAGTTTAGTTATGAGTTTATGGTGAGACACTCTGTCAAACGCCTTCGCGAAGTCCAAATAAATCACGTCCACTCCAATGTCATTATCAAGATACATTGTCCAATCATTCAGAGCCTGGAGCATGCCCGTTACCGTTGATTTCCCCTTCTGGAAGCCGTGTTGGTTTTCGGAAATTATTTCATACTGCTCCAAATGTGCCATGAGTCTCTTTTTAAGAACTTTCTCGAACAATCTGGCGAATATTGAGGTTATGCTGACCGGTCTGAAGTTAGACGGACAGGAATAAGGCGGCTTCTTAGGGATTGGGGTTACGAATGAAACGCGCCACCTCTTCGGCACTTCAGCTCTCATAAACTCAAGTTGAAGAGGAAGGCAAGTGGTCCACATAATATGTGCGCTACCTTTTTAATGAATACCAGTGGGACATGATCAGGTGTATCCGAACGGGATCTGGGCCATCGAATCAGTAACTTATATATTTCCTCCTTGTCGAACCAAAGTGAATCACGCATCACCGGGAATGTCGGTACGGCACCCAGTTCCAAAGAGTCATCCCCTTTCTGGAAGGACTTCGCGAAGACGTTGGCCAGAAGCTCTGCTTTGTCTCTATCTTTGCATACTGCAATCCCATCCTCCCTGAGAAGAACCCCTAATCCTTTAGTTTTCCGCAGCCTTGAATTGAGTAGCCTATAGAAAGCGTTCTTATTCTTGGAAAAGATAACTTTTCTTTCAACATGATTATGGAACTTGCTCAACTTTTTCTCCAAAAGTAGTTCTCAATTTATTGTATTCGTCCCAATGCGCTTGATTATCACTCGACACAGCCTTAGCCCAAGCTGAATTCTTTTTGCGGTTACATCTGATCAAGTGAAGTGGAAGCTGTACTCCATTAGTCTTTTGAGGCTTGAGTGGAACAAATAATTCGATGGTATGATGTATTATAGTTAGAAACAACTCATATTTCTCATTAAGTGAATTAACGTTTTGGAAGGATCCATACCAGTCTATAGTACAGAGATATTCGTTGATTTTATCGAAATGTGCGTTACCGAAGTCACGAACAAACTTTGTTTTGCTATTTTGCTCCGCCTCAATGTTGATGTCAAAAGCGACAGATGCATGATCACTATTACCAATTGGTGTTTGGATCATTGTATTACTTATGAGCTGTGAATTGTTAGTCAGAATGAGATCCAAAATATTAGGTCCATGAGTAGGCTCCGAATACGAGCTGATGGAAATTAAGACTTGTACACAATTCTATGAAGCGTGAAGCACGTGCGCTATTCGCCTGAGGCCTACCACCCTCACACCACAATAGTTCAGGAAGATTAAAATCACCAAGTAAGACGACAGAGTGATTGATGCCTGCTAAATCGCCAATCGCTTTGAGCAGTTGTTCAAACATCGCAGCAGAACACGACGGTGTTCTATAAACAAGGACCAACCTAACGCTAGATGACGCTATGTCAAGGTCTACGCACATAATTTCATATGCATCGGCAAACGATTCACTGAATACTACCCTAGGGAAAAAGATCTTCTTGGCAATGATAGCGATGCCGCCACCACGCCTTTCATGCCTGTCACATCTGAGGACTTCATAATTGGCGCACAGTTCCCCAAATAATGACTCGGTACTGATAACGTCGGACAACCAGGTCTCCGTCAAGGCTACTACTCCAATGTTAACATGCCGGATTCGGAAGAGTAAATCATCAACATTCCTTGAAACTGAGCGTATGTTAGCTAGTAGCCACCTTAGACAAACATCTGACAATGGTGTGGGTGCTATATATTCGGCCTTCCTGGAGAATGAAATGAATTTTGAGAAACATTCGTCAACTCATTAACTTCAAGAGAGGCTTGAGGGGACATCAAGTGATCATTTGGAGAATGATTTACATGCCTACTTATGTGTCTACTTACAACGACCTCATCGCCTCTGCTCCTTCTACTGCGAGCAACCTCTCTGTCTGCACGTCTCCGCTCAAGTTCATCCTTGGATAAGGATGCCCTGATAAAGACGCCTTTCTTGAGCGGGAAGTGCTTTAGTTGAGGTGACCGTCGTAAAACAAGCCTAGCGAAAAAAGAGTTGGGTAGAATAACCTTGAGAAGTCTGTTATACCTCATATTGGGACGTCCCATTCTATACGTAGCGATGGGTGCGCAATCAATTGAGAGATAATCTAGCAGTTGACGCACACATATAGTATCATGCTCTACTCTATCTTGACATCTTGGACTGGGACTTTCGGGTACACCTATGATGACAATAGATCTACTGCGCTCGGCCTCTTCAAATGACAACTGAGAACCAGCTTTAAGATGAGACCCTACAACGGGAGAAGAGACCTGAGAAGATTTCTGAATATGAGAGGATGACAGCTTAGATTCTTCGAGACAATTACGGAGAGCTCTGTTTTCTTCTTTCAGCAACTTGATTTCATTGGCCATGCACTCCTGCTTAGTCCTGCAATCCACCAAAAAAGCCAGGACAGTGCGAACATGTAGAGGGATAGATTGATCTTTCGTGAGCTCCTCTGCTGCCTTCAAAAAGTCCGGCGACGTGGGTGAATCAAAATCGAAATCAAGTCTTCTCTTCCTCTTGAAGTCCTGAATATGGACAGGGTAGACCGGGGTCTCGCTAATCATTAGAAATGGGAGGCAAAACACCTAAGCTGGTGGCAGTAGACAGTAAAGTACAAGTTATCTGCTTCACGCCACAAGAAGCAACGCAACCAACTTCAAGAACGAAAGAAACAGCCGAAAAAATAGGTAAATCCAAGAAAAATATAACCAGAAAACAATACACCTGATCCGGTGGCAATGCTCTTCTTGTGCCGTACCTTGCCACAGTGGTACTCGCTTGCTCCAATAATCAATAAATAGGCACACCACGATAACCGATAAAAAATGATAAATCCAGACAGCAGTATAAGAATATCACACCGAAAAGAATACCAGCCAGAATACTCTAGTGGAGAATTCCAATGAAGCGAGTGGTCCAAAAAAAAGTTGACGAAAACTATCCAGGAAAAACTCAGGAAAGTCGACGTCGAGTACTTGAGCCAAGGCTAGAGGGTGCAGTAGACAGTTACGGGCTGCCGATCGGGGCGGTCGAAATTTCAGCTCAGCAGTACCGACTTGACAGGAGAATTCCAATTAAGTAGAAGTCGGAGTCGATAGGTAGATGGTGAGCAGGCGAACAGGGCTAGATGAAATCCGATAATCGACAGATCGAAGGAGCCGGCGATAGGCAACCACTCGCCGTGAACCGCGGGTGGTCGAATGACCGCACCTTGACCTCACTTTTCTCTGTAAGCAACTCTAATCATCCTAACGTTGGAAATTGCAGTACGTTGCGAAGCGGCGCTGTAGCGCTACGCTGTAGCGCGCTGTAGCGCGACGCTGTAGCGCGACGCTGTAGCGCGACGCTGTAGCGCGACGCTGTAGCGCGACGCTGTAGCGCTACAAGTATGAACGCTGCCTAACCCTCCCCCC